TACTGGTAGAGTAAACTCATCGGTGGAGCTACAGACCTTTGGAAAACTTGCCCCAGCAAGGCAGATGCAGGTGGCAAGTCCCAAAGGGCCAAGAGGTCAAGAAACCAGGAAGCAGAAGCTGAAGAGACAAGGAACACAGGAAGCCGAGCTGCCTCAGTCTCAAAGAGTATGGCTACAACCTCTGGGGTCTCAAAGGGTGGAACCATGGCCTCTGGAGTTTCTAAGGGTGGAGCTGCCACTCGGACTAGGAGAATGGTGTGCCTTAGGAGAATGGTGTGCCTAAAGCCGAGGGAGCTGAGTTGCCTTTCCAGTGGGGCTAGAACGTGGAGCTGAAGCCTAGGGCTGGAGGGCCTCCACTCAAAATCCAGAGAGTCTGGCCAATACCTAGAGCCTGGAGGGCAGGGCCATTGCCTAAATGGTCTCAGAGAACAGAGGATTATTTTCAAAGCCTTGTGGGCTAAGGTAATGTGTTCCACTGACTTCCTTGGTACTTGTTATCCTTTCTTTCCCCCCAATCTCTCCCATTTGTAATGGAAATGTCTACCTTGTGCCTGTCTGTTGCATCATTGTACTTTTGGAAGCAGATAACTTGTATTCTAGATTTCATAAAGAAGAATTTTTGTATTCTGGACTTGGAGTTGATTTAAGACTTTTGCTATGATATGATGGAGTGAAGGTGTTTTACATGTGGCAAGGACATGAATTTTTGGGGGCCAAAGGGTGGAGTGTCATAGATTGAATTATGTCCCCCAAAAATATATGTCAACTTGGCTAGGCCATGATTCCCAAAATTGTGTGATCGTCCACCATTTTGTCATCTGATGTGATTTTCCTATGTGTTATAAATCCTGTCTCTATTGATGTTGACGAGATGGGATTAACAGCAGTTATGCTGATGAGATCTACAAGATTAGACTGTGTCTGGAGCCAATCTCTTTTGAGAGATACAAGAGAGACGCAAGCAGCAAGACATGGGGACCTCATATCACCAAGAAAGCAGCACCAGGAACAGACTGCGTCCTTTGGACTCGGGGTCCCTGTGTCTGAGAAGCTCCTTGACTAAAAGAAGATTGATGACAAGGACCCTCCTCCAGAGCCCACAAAGACAGAAAGCCTTCCCCAGGAGGTGATGCCCTGAATTTGGACTTGTAGCCTACTAGACTGTGAGAGAATAAATTTCTCTTTGTTAAAGCCATCCACTTGTGGTATTTCTGTTATAGCAGCACTACATGACTAAGACAAGAGGTACAACAATTGGTTTCTATCTGCCTGGAGCAACAGAGTAAGAAGGAGAGCCAGGAACAGGAGGAGGATATAGAATGTGTGGCTAATTGCCTCCCTGAACAACTGCCTCCTTTGCCATGAGACCAGAAGAACTGGAGGGTGCCCAACTACCATTACTGAACATTTTGATCAAAGATTCTATAAGATAATCCTGATCTAAAGGGGGAAAACGCAGGACAGAATTTCAAATTCTTATGGCCTCCAGATCTTCTGGAGCCAAGGAGGCTGGAAGAATCCCTGAAATTACTGCCCTGAGATAATTTTTAAACCTTAAACCAAAAATATCCCCTGAAGTCTTCTTAAAACCAAATAATAGTTCAGCTTAAGTAGTAAAAAATATCTACCTTGAGCATTATGCTCTTTTAAGAACTATCTATATGGGATCAAAGTGACAACAGCAATTCGAAAGATTAGATAGGAACCTTAGGGGTCAGTGAGTTTATGTTAATGGCGGAAGAACAGCTCAGAAAAGGAGAGTGAGAATGGTTGTACAATTCGAAGAATGTAATCAATGTCACTGAACTGTACACGTAGAAACAGTTAAATTGGTGTGTTTTGCTTGTATATCTCAACAACAACAAAATAAAAGGAAAAAAACCCACACAATTACTATACATTGTGTTTTTACCATTTCAACACCAAAAAACTAAGAAGGACATAATCTCAGGACAAGGTACCTGTCTTTAAATTTAAGAAATTTGACTTTAGGAAAAAACTCATAATATTTTCTTTATTTTCCACATGTCATTATAGACAGATGAAAACTTTGTCAAACAACTTAGACCCAGTAGATCTGGACATTTGAAAGAGCTGTTAGTTACTTCTCACACTCAACTAAGCACCAAGCAGTTCAAAAGAAGCAATATTCACCTGAAATTAATACTTATAGGTCTTAAAATGCAAGAACCAAAAGAAAACAAAGGATAAACTATTAAATATATTTGCAATTCAAAATAGAAAATCAGCTCACTTCTTGAAAACAAAACCTCTATTCCAAGAACCAGCTTTAAGAACCACTGGTATTACGGGAAGGAGCCTGGTGGCACAGTGGTTAAGTGCTCAGCTGATAACCAAAAGATCGGCAGCTCCAACCCAACAGCCGCTCCATGGGAGAAAGATGCGGCAATCTGCTTCTGTAAATATTACAGCCTTGGAAACTCTATGGGGCAGTTCTACTTTAACTTATAAAGGTGCTATGAGTCGGAACCGACTCAACGGCAACAAGTTTGGTTTGGTTTTTGGTTTGAGTATTATGGGTGAAGTCCCTGGGTGGTAGAAATGGTTAATGCGCTAGGCTGCCAAATGAAAGGTTGGAGGCTCAAGTCCACCCAGAGGTGCCTGGGAAAAGGCCTGGCAATCTACTTCTGAAAAATCCAGCCATTGAAAACCCTATGGAGCAAAGTTAACTACTATGACACACTTGGGGTCATCATGAGTTGGAGTTAACTCAAAGGCAACTGAGTTGATACTGGTAGTATTACAGAATGGCATACAATATTTGAATTCCAGTTCTGCCCAGTACTAAGTTGGTGATTTTGAGCATGTCTCTTAATCTAAACCTCAGTTTCCTTATTAGTATGTTGAGAAAATAATAATAGTACCTACCCTCACAAGGTAGTGGGAAAGTTTCAATAAGAGCATGTAACTGGTCTGACAGAGTCTGCAGAAATCCCAAGAGTATGACCCCCGGACACCCTTTTAGCTCAGTAATGAAGTCACTCCTGAGGTTCACCCTTCAGCCAAAGCTAAAGACAAACCCATAAAACAAAATGAGACTAAAGAGGCACAACAGCCCAGGGACAAGGACTAGCAGGCAGGAGGGGACAGGAAAGCTGTTAATAGGGAACCCAAGGTTGAAAAGGGAGCGTGTCGACATGTTGTGGGGTTGTTGACCAATGTCATAAAACAATATGTGTACTAAATTGTTCAATGAGAAACTAGTTTGTTCCATAAACCTTCATCTAAAGTACAATTAAAAAAAAAAAAGAGCATGTAAAGCAGTGCTACTCAAAGTGTGGTCTGCAGACCATTACCTGTCCACAAACTGTTAGCAGTCTGCATCAAGACAAATATGGGAACAAAGAAAAAGCATTTAGAACATCTTACAGCAATTTGACAGTTAGTTTATGCTAGTTGAATCTAATAATTTTAAAAAGTCATACAAAATTGTATGTCTTTTATTTTTAATTTCATTTTTCTAGTAATTATAGTTTTAAAAAGTGTTTTTAGAAGCTTATTGACCTGTAATGACTTGAGGCCAAAAACCTACCTGGTCCTTCACCAAGACAGAGAAGCACTAAAGTCAAGTACTCTACCCAGTTGTGAACACAAAGGAAGAACCCTCAAAATATTAAATTCCTCTCCACCTATAGGACTCTACAGTCAATCACTAAACGCTTACTAGGAGCCTTCCAGGCAAAAGATAAGAGTTGCTGGCTAGCGCAAGTGGTTAAGCGCTTGGCTATTTGCCAAAAGGTTAGCGGTTCGAACCTACCCAGCAGTACCTCAGGAGACAGGTCCAGTGATCTGCTTCAGAAAGGTCACAGCCTTCAAAACCCTATGGAGCAGTTCTACTCTGCACACATGGGAACAATATGAGTAGGAATCAACTCAACAGCAACTAACAACAATAAGAAGCAAATGATAATGTGGGGATGCTAAAGAAATTTATCAAACCCACATGACACATAATAATACGGAAGGAATAATTTAAAGGACAAGCTCTAAATAAGTGATATTGTAAAAAAAAAAAAAAGCTCTAAAGAACCAGGGCTCCCTTCAGGTTAAAATGGCTAAGGAGGTCCCTCTGAACCGGGGCATTGAAGGTTGCATACGATCAGTCAGCTGGGAAGAGGAGGAGCATTTAGGCAGAGAAGTGTCCTGGCAAAAGCAGAGGGAACCACTATGAATAAATGAGCCTAACTAACAGGAAAGCAACGGAAAGAGGGATTGGAGCTGGCTAGGAAAAATTTAGGGAGCTTTAGAAAACGCAGCTGAGAGGATCAGGGAGGGTCACGCCCAGACTGTGAACGGCCCTATACACCCACCTAAGGATTTAAACTTGGCCGTGGAGTTTTATTTTTAACCTAAAATGACACAAATTAAGGTAACTGGTGGGAGCTCGAAGTAAAGAATTGAGAGACTCCAGGGAACGAGCTTAATTAGTGGCTGATGGTCCAGGTAACAAACCCAGGCAGAGGCTGTGTTCTCACCCGAAGGAAGGGAGGGACGGGAATAAGGAAACCATTTTGTAAAAACCCAAGATAAATCAAGCGACCTGTGAATTCCGATCCCTGCTGACCACCAAGCCACACACCTGTGTTTTCGGGCCTGAACTGGATGGGGAGTTTCGAAGTGGAAATCCCTGGGAATCTTCTGTTCTACTTTAGGGGCTCCAAGCCCCTTCCCATCACAGCCCCATCCCCGAGGGAGGACCAATGCAGCGTAACGTAGGGAGAGAGGGGGAAGGAAGGTGACGATTAGGTCCTGTCCCAGGGAACGAGGGAGCGCCCACGGCGAATTCAGAACCTGCACCATCTAACCAAGCACGCAGGGCGGAGGACTGCGCGTGCGCGCCTAAAGCGCGCGCCCCGCCCCCTGCCTTTAAACCGGGTGGCGGGATGGGTGACTTGGCACCTCACAAGAGTGCCTCTGCAGCTTGCAAGGGATGCCGACTCGTCTTCGCTTACAGCCCTCCTGCCCACACACTCACTCACCCGCTCCCCGCGGGTCCTCAGGATCCCAGCGGAGCCAGAAGACCTTAGGACACCAGCCGCTGCCTTTCCCGCCACCGGCTGGGCGGTGCCAGTCCCCGCCTGCATAGGGGCGGGGCGGGCCGAGCCAGGCTGGTCCACGTGACACCATGTGGGCAGGGATGTTGGTGATGAAAAAAGAAAAGGGAAGCGAGTACAAGTAATGTTTCTTTTATCAAAGTGGATCCCCTATATTGAGCTACAAAACAAAGTGCTATGAATTTTTGGTGACTTAAGATAGTAGGAATCAAAGTCTTTTAGAGGTGAATTATAAACATTCTTCCCTTTCTAGTTAATTAGACTGTTCCAAAGTCTAAATGGTTGGAAAATCCAAAACCAAACCCGTTGCTGTAGAGTCCATTCCGACTCCTTAATGACCGTATAGGACAGAGTAGAACTGCCCACTAGGGCTTCCAAGGAGCGGCTAGTGGATTCGAACTGCCGACCTTTGGGTTAGCAGCCAAGCTCTTAACCACTGTGCCACCAGGGCTCCAAAAGGTTAGAAAAGTTAGGCTTTATTGGGAGGATGTGGAGAGATGGAATAAGGGGAGAAATAGTCTTTTTGGGGGAGGGATCTGTCCTGGAGGCGCAGTGGTTAAGAGCTAGGCTGTTAACCAAAAGGTCGGCAGTTTGAATCGACCAGCCCCTCTTTGGAAATCCTGTGGGGCAGTTCTACTCTGTCCCATAGGGTCGCTAAGAGTCCGAATCCACCGGACGGCACCGGGTTTGAGTTTAGTTTCGTCGTACTGCAAAGTCCCTGTTGTTGCTGTTAGTCCCTGTAGATTCCAACTCATGGCCACCCCATGTGTGCAGAGTAGAATTGCTCCATAGGGTTTGGTGGTGCAAACAATGTGCTGGGCTGGTAACCTAAAGGTTGGAGGTTCGAGTCCACCCAGAGACACCTCAGAAGAAAGGCCTGGTGATCTATTTCCAAAAAATCAGCCATTGAAAACCCTGTGGAGAGTATTGGCCCAAGAGACAGAATGGGCCACATAAATCAGACACTTCATCAGCCTGAGACCAGAAGAACTAGATGGTGCCCAGCTACCACCAATGAACGTCCTGACAGGGAACACAGCAGAGGGTCCCTGATGGAGCAGTAGAACAATGGGATGCAGAACTCAAATTCAGACTTAATGGTCTGACTGAGACTGGAGGTGCCCCGGAAAGCATGGCCCCTGGTCTCTCTATCACCCCCAACTAAAACAATTTCCGAGGCCAACTCTTCAAACAGGGATTGGACTGGGCTGTGGGACATAAAGTGATACTTGTGAAGAATGTGCCTCTTAGACAAGTAGATATAAGAGACCAAAGGGGCGGCTTCTGTCCAGAGGTGAGAGGGGAAGGCAGAGAGAGTTAGGAGCTGGTTGAATGTTCATGGGGAATCAGGGGCAGAGGGGAGGAGTGTGCTGTCACAGAATGGGGTGAGCGGTTGGGGTCTCATAACAATGTATGTTAAAAAAAAAAAATTCTGTATGGGAGACTAACTTGAAATGTAAACCTCATTTAATTACAACAATTAAAAAAAAAAAAAAAAGAAAGAAAACCCTGTGGAGCACATGGGGTAGCCATGACTCAAAGTCTACTCAATGGCAACTGGTTTGGTTTTGTTTGATTTGTCATACTGTAGGCATAGGCTTAACACTAGAGAAGTATGCATGAGATTCTTAAAAAGATCAACAATAAATACTCATTCATCACTTGAGGGTTTCCTAGCCTGTACTGAAGTGAGTGCATTTTGCCAACAACAAAAGAGGATAATGGCTCAAAGGGTTAATTATCTCCTGAATTATTAAGCATTTGAATAAAAGGAATAGATCTCTGGGGTATGAAGGAGAGTTAGAAAAGACTTGCTTCAACATGAAAGGACAGATGAGAGAAAAGTAAAAAGACACACACAAAAAAGGGAGACAAGGGACTATAGAACTAGCGATTAAAGCAGATAGATGATTTGAAGATTGTTTCTATTTGCTCTGAGTAAATGAATACCCTGAAGGTCAAAGACTCTCTCCTTCCTAAGTACAACGCCCCCAGTTTGCTCCAGGCATGAGGTTTCCTGTTTTGGCCTCAGGGAACTCTTTCGGGTTTAAGTATCATCTACCAGGAGGCCAATCTGGGGGATATCAGGCAGAATTGTTAAATTGCTTAATTTTTCTAGATTCTAGGCTCACTCACCCCTTATTTAAGGTTGGGAGCTTACTGGCCCAGGGCCTCTGAAGAGATCCATCATGCCAGAATGAACACACAACCCAGCCAGTGGATGTAGACAGGTTTATAGGGCCTTAAAGAACAGCTCAAACCCCAGTATTCACTTTTCTCAGAGCTACTTCCCCACCCAAGTCCCTGGGGCAAGCATCCCTGAGATAAGTAGGCTATACTCCTCCATTAACTTCCCCCCAAATTTCTGATCCAACTGCATCCTAATCTGAGGCTTATACCTCCATTCCCCCACCCCCACTACCAACACCTCTCCCCTCACTCCCATATCCATGAGCATCTCAGCCTCAGTTTGGAGAAATGTTGAGCCCCCTTCTCCCAACTCTTGAAATGCTTGTCTCCTCCACTCCTCTCCATCGGCCTCCTGTGAGGAGTAACTTCCAGCTTCCCTGCTCCCTCAGAAATCAATAGCCATATGCTTGACTGGCAGCAGGGTAAAGGCCAGAAACTTGAGGTCTTGGTTCCCTGTGCTCACCACACTGGGCTGGGGGAGGGAGGCACAGGGCGATACTTCTTTTCCCTTCCTTAGCTCTTGTGCCCCCAAACTGAGATACAACCAGGCTCACCCACATTCATACGCACAATCATGCACACACGGCGATGGGAGGTGGGGTGGGGAGGAAGGGAAGTTTGCACCAACCAGCTCATGAATGCAACTTGAAAGATTTCACACAGCAAAAGGAAAAAAACACACACATATAAATTAAAAAAATAAAGAAGTACATGCCCCTCCCCACATTCTCTTTCTTCATCCAGGGGCTGGCTCAGCCCCTCCATGTAAACCCAGAAGCTTCCCTCTGTCCAGGTGGAGCTTTTACAGGGCCTGCGTCTTCAGTTCAACGGGTTCCCCTGTGCTCTCTGGTTGTGCATTGGGGTCACTGGGCCTGGCTCCCTTAAGGATAGACAGTCTCTCAGAAACACTCCTGAGCCGAGGGAAGAGGAGAAAGTCATAGAGGAGGCTGCCCAGGCCCGCTCCAATGATTGGGCCCACCCAGTATACCTGTAGGAAGAGGAAAGAAATACTCAGGAACGGGGAAGGGACCAAGAGCAAGGCTGCTCTCTTCCCACCTCCTCAATGGAAAACAGACATCTTAGACTTGACACATAAAATTGGGCATTATCTAAGTAGAAATCAGTTATTTGTTTTTTAAACCCTAGGCTCTTACTGCCTGTACCTCAAAACTCACCGTTTCTTTTCTGATTCATCAAATCATTCCTTTATCTCACACCTTTTTAGCACATGTATATTCTATTTGTTACCACCAATTTGTACTAGTTTACATAGTGCTTTGAAAAATTTTGGAATTATTTTTAAATGTTTGGTTTGCATATTGTCAACAATATAAACACAGCCAATGTTTACTGAGGCTTACTTCACACCAGATTCTGTGCTAAATGTTTCACACATACAACTTCCACATTTATTTCTCATAATACCCCTTTTTTTTTTTACTTTTTCCCATATAAAATTTATACATTATGTGACCCTAACTGCTCTCCCCAGACTGTGACAGCACACTCCTCCTTTCCACCGCTGATTCCCCACATCCATCCAACCAGCTCCTAACCCTCTCTGCCTTCCCATCTCACCTCCGGACAGAAGCTGCCCATTTAGTCTCTTGTATCTACTTGAGCCAAGAGGCACACTCCTCACGAGTATCACTTTACATCCCACAGTCCAGTCCAATCCCTGTCTGAAGAGTTGGCCTCGGAAATTGTTTTAGTTCTGAGCTGATAGAGAATCCAGGGGCCATGCTTTCGAGGGTTCCTCCAGTCTCAGTCAGACCATTAAGTCTGGTCTTCTTACTAGAATTTGAGTTCTGCACCCCACCTTTCTCCTGCTCCATCCAGGACTCTCTGTTGTGTTCCCTGTCAGGGTGGTCATTGGTGGTAGCCGGGCACCATCTAGTTCTACTGGTCTCAGGCTGATGAAGTCTCTGGTCTATGTGGCCCTTTCTGTGTCTTGGGCTAATACTTTCCTTGTGCATAATACTCCATTTTATAGTTAAAGAAGCTAAGGCTCAAAATGGTTGAGTTACTTGCCCAAGATCACATACAAGGCTAGTAAAGTGCTAGAACTGGAATGGGGCCCAGGCCCATCTGTGCTCTCAGCACATCCTGATCTCTGAGATGAGAAGTTTTTGTCTTCATGCTCACTTATCTGGCCTCATAGTCCTGCTTTTGGCATCCAGTGGGTACTTAGTAAAAATCCCTTGACTGACCAGAGAAGGAACAATATGAGCAAGAGCTTCTTTTTCTAGCAAAATAATAAGTCCTGTTCACAAAAGCATGCCAAGCTCTCTGACAGCCCCCTTGTCTGAGGTGCTGGTAGAGCAGCCAACACATCCAGATGGAAAGCAAAACCAAACCTGGAACCTGCAGCCCACACCCATCCAGCAGGTCTTCAGGATGTCCCTCTCCCCTCACTCACCCAGTGGTCGGTGAAGTTTCGAGTGAGAATGGCAGGAGCAAAGGAGCGGGCAGGGTTCATGCCTGCACCAGTATAATACATCTGCAAAAGACACAGCTGTAACTGAGATACTCCCCATTCCACCCCAGTTCCTCTCCCCGTAACCCACATTGCCCCTGAGAACTGGCACCTTGCCTTCAGCCAGCAACAAAAGGGAAAGGACCACCTGCATGACTCTCCAAGGGTTCCCCACAGTGGGGTGAGGTCACTGATGCCCCATCTGGGGGCACTATGGACCCAAAGGCAAAGCTCCCGTCTACCTGTGACTTCCACTTTAAAGTCAACAAGAACTATATATAGTAGTCACAGGGAGAGGAATAGGGCAGGGTTGATTGCTGTGTGGCAACAATCTGTGTGGCAAAACAGAGTGCAGTGGAAAATGTTCATGTTTGACAGTGGGTTGGGCAGGAAGCGCTCTGAAAACTCAGGGAAGGTTTGGGGGCCCTGGAATCCTTGAACAAGAAGTTGTTCCCATCTTCTGCTTACCCCAAAGAGGTGCCCCAGGGTGAGGGAGAAGCCAACAGCCAGGGCCACAGATCCCAGACGGCCATTTCGCCTCTCGTCATATGTGGCAAAGATGCACAGCACGAACTGGAGTGTCAGGAAGATCTCCACCACGGTGGCCTGGCCCACACTCACCCCAGGATGCAACTGGGCAAAGGAAGAAGAAGGGAGGCAGCTCATTAGGGCTGCCACAGTGTTACCTCCTCAAGGCTTTCCAGGCAGGGCTACCCTTACGGCATCAGTTCCCTGAAGGATAATACCACCCTCTTCGTAGTAGTTGTATTTGTATCTTAATTTCTTCTAACAATACTCCTTTGAGGTGGATATGATTGCACCAACTTACATAGATGGGGAAACTGAGGCCCCCTAAGGTAAAATAAGTTTTTCCTCAAGACCCTGCAAGGAGTTTGAAGGAAGCTGGGACATGAATCCAGGTTTTTTGATTCTCAGTCTAGGACTCTATGCCTTCCTTACCCCCCTACACGCCACCTCTTGATCCTCCCCACTCTGAAACACAGACACAGACACAGACACACACGTCCCAGATCCTGGGGGAACTGACCTACCCACCCCAGGCAGGAAGTCAGGGCACCAGGTTCCCCCAGCCCCTCTCAGGCGACCATTACCGTGTTAAGTGCTAGGTTTCCTCGGACAGCAGGCGGGGTAACACTGTACAGCATGGCAGCCCCAGCCACGGCTCCCAGGAGCTGGGCTGCCATATAGCAGAAGGCACGGAGCAGGGACATCTGGGAGCCCACAAGGAAGGCAAAAGTGACTGCAGGATTGACGTGGGCTCCACTGATATGGCCCACAGCCTGCACCAGCGTAGCCAGGGCCAGGCCAAAGGCCAGAGCCACCTGCAAGACAGGCAGGGGGCCAGGGGACCAACGCAGTGAGGCCCCCAGACCAAAGAAGACATAGAAGAGGGTGGCAAAGAGCTCAGCGAATATGGCCCTCCAGAAGGAGGTTGACCGAAGTTCCCACATGGCAGGGGGGATGGGCACAACGCCTGGGTTCCTGATAGCCCCTTGGCCTGGTCTGGGTGGACAGTCCCCTTTATAGAGGACTCTTAATCCCTGGGAGGGGCAGACTCAGGTGGCTGGCCCAGCCTCTTAACCCCTTCACAGCTGTGGAGAGCTGGGCCCATTCCCATACCTCTGATAAAGCTGTTGAATTTTCCCCTCCCTCCTCAACTGGGAGATAAACAGAGCCATTGGGGGGTGGGGGCGGGAATGGGGTGTTAGAGCTGGAGAGTCTCTGAGAGAGAAGGACCAAGACAGAGAGATGAGAAGAGTCTGCTCTTCAAGTCAAAGGCGAGGTCATACTCCTGATTGACATCTATGTTAGAACATTCCTCAACTCTGCCTGGAAGGTCAGTCGAGCTGAGTTCACTACATGGGGCACGGGACTGTGCTCCTGGGGGTCTGCAAGCTCCTCTGAGTGCCAGGGGTAAGGGTGGGGGTGCGGGTCAGGAGTGGGGTCCAGCAGGGAAGTTGGATAACTGAAGAGCATTCTTTAGTTCTCTGGGATTAGAGGGCCTTCTCCCATTGGCTAGTTTGGGCTGGAATCTGTGGATCCTGCAGCTCTGAAACAGAATAGTTCTGCTGTGTCTGGCTTTCTCTGAGCCCAGGGTTCCCCACCCCCAATCCATGCCAGTACCTCCCTTTCCAAACCCTCAGCCTTGCCTTTTAAACCAGAGAGACAGAGGGGGAGAAAGCTCTCCTCCATGTATGCACTAAGGGTGGGGCAGGGGTGGTGGGGAGGGGAAAAGGGGTCAGTAGTCAAACCTCAGAATCAGCTTGTATTTCATCTTTCCTAACTCGCAAGGCCTTAGCAGGATGTAGTGAAAGAAAGGAAACTTATTTGTGGCTATGAAGCAATGAAGTGGGATGGTCTAATGCCCCTAGGAGCCCTGGTGGTACAGTGGTTAAGAGCTCAGCTGCTAATCAAAAGTTGGCAGTTGGAATCCACCAGCTGCTCCTTGGAACCCTATGGGACAATTCTACTCTGCCCTATAGGGTCACTACAACTCGGAATTGACTCGATGGCAACGGGTTTTGATTTTGTTTTAATGCTCACTAATATGGCTGTGACTAAGACACAAGTCTTAAACCCCAGGTCTTGTCCCAGCCCATGAGGACAGCACTCCTGATCCCCAGGAAAAGGTCTGGGGGTGGTCTGGGGAAGCAGGCTGGTCAAGAAGGAAAAAGGACAAGATGGGGAAGGAAACCTTGGGGCAAGGGGGTTCATTTGCGCTCAGGCATGTCGAGGGACTTCCCACTAGTCTCCCACCCCTCTCCTCCTTAGCCTCACTCTGCTCCCCTCTCCCTTTAAGAAACTCTCCAGCCAGACCTCAGTCTCATAATTCTGAACCTGCTCACCCCCAAGTACCTGATCTGGTAGGAAAGAAGGACTGAAGGAGAGAATAAGGGAGTGATCAGAGAAAAAGCTACCACCTGGTTGGACTGGGGTTTAGCAGCAGAGAAGGGCAGGAGTATGGCATTTCAATAGTGGAAATATGGAGTCTAAAGAAAAAGACAGCAATTCCTCCTCTCCTCAGGAATCTTACCTCTCAGATCACCGTTTTCCTGGCCTGGTCCAGACTCTGTTGGGTGTTCTGCTCCAGTTTGGAGACTGCTCTTTTAGGTCTAGGTGAGTGAAGTTGGGAGGTGAAGAGCAAGTGTTTCAGGGGCCTCCACTGGAGAAAGAGGCCAGCAGAGAGAGGCCAGCTCCAATTCTCTGACCAGGGAACAACTCTTGTCTCCTTCATTCAGCCAACAGAGACTAGCCTCATCCCCCCATCTCCCACCCCCACTCCCAATCAGTGCTCTCCCCAAGGGCACCTAAGATACTTGTACTTATACCATTTTCACCCCTAGGTATTCATTCTCCCCAGTCTTGGCTCCCTTTCCTCTCCTACCAAGCTCTTTAGCTCTTCTACTCCAGATTCACTGGGTGAGGGACAGGAGCTGATAATGGCTTCTGTCAACCACAGATGCTGACACTGAAGGCAGAGATTCATACTTCTACTCCCTAATCATCATGAATTTGGATTTCAGGAGCCAGAGGGGGAAAGAGGAAAGCTAAAGGGAAGATCTGGAAGACACCGAGAAGAATCCCAGGGAAAGCAAGATAAAGACACCTCTCTGCTTCACCAGAAACACAGAAACCATGCGGAAGGTACCAGTGCTAGGTTGGCAACTGGGCCATTGGATTCTGAAAAGGAAGGTGCCTTCGGGGAATTGCCTGGGGGTGCAGGGGATTCCTGAGTTCTAACACTCCTGGGATTACCCAGGATACAACCCAAAGCATCTTTGTCTTTTTTTCTGGTTAGTTTGTCTCCCCTCCTTTTTTTTTTTTTTTTGGCTATTACTTTATTTCATTCTTATATTTAGGGTTGTTTTCAGGAGTTGCAAAAAAATTTACCCATAGATTCTCCACCTTTCTCTCCTGCTGGCCTTAAGAAAGCATACAAAAACATGTTTGAAGTTTTTTCTAATAGGAACTACAGAAGTGGAAAAGAATTTGCAAAATAATAAATACAGGGATAGTTACAAAGTTACTGTAAGTCTTAATGGCTTGTAGTTGTAATCATCCTGGAGTTTCATCTATCTCTACACTTGACTGAATTATCTCTTTGAAGTGTAGAATTCAATGACGTTTAATTACACTCAACTTATTATATTACCATTACTACTATCCATTTCCAAAAGTTTTACATCACCCCAAACAGAAACTCAGTTCCCCTTCAGCAAGAACTCCCATTTCTTCCTCCCCACAGCCCTTGGTAACCAATAAACTTTTGTCTCTATGCATTTGCCTATTCTAGATATTTTATAAAAGTGGGATCATACAGTATTTGTCCTTTATGTCTGACTTATTTCACTCTGCATACTATTTTCAAGTTTCATCCATGTCATAGCATGTATCAGAAGTTCATTTCTCTTTATGGCTGAATAATATTTCATTGTGTGTATATAGCACATTTTGTTTATCCATTCGTCTGTTGATGGATGCTTGGGCTGTTTCCACCTTTTGGCTGTTGTGAATAATGCTGCAATGAACATTGGTGTACACATATCTGTTTGAGTCCCTGTTTTTAAGTCTCTTGGGTATACACCTAGGAGTGGAATTGCTGGATCATATGCTAAATCGATGTTTATTTTTTAAATAATTTTGTTGTTGAAAATATACAGCAGCACATACACCAATTCAACAAATTTCTACAGGTACAGTTCAATGACATTGATTACATTCTTCAAGTTGTGCAACCATTGTCACTCTCCTTTTCTGAATTGTTCCTCCCCCATTAACATAAACTCACTGCGCCCTGAGCTTGCTAATAATAAGAAGGCTAACCCATTCTAGTAGAGCGCAAATGAGACCACAAAGCTCAGAGAATCTCCAGACAAAGATATTTGTCTTGTCTCATTCCTCCACGGTGGGTCCCATGAGATTACCATAGCCACCTCTGAGGTTGTCCAGAACCAGCTCACTACCTTCCTGAAGCTGCTCCTTAGCCAGTCCATATCACCAGGACCTAAAGGATAACCCAGGTTTGAGTTCCATAAAAAAAATACCTACTCGGCTGATCTTACAGGGTTGTATGTGGATAAATAAGATACACCTAAGCAATTTAAGTATTAAGTTACTCAAACCAAACCCACTGCCATCGAGACGATTCCAACTCATAGCGACCTTACAGGACAGAGTACAACTGCCCCATAGGGTTTCCAAGGCTGTAAAACTTTACTGAAGTAGAAGCTGACTGCCAGATCTTTCTACTGTGGAGCAGCTGGTGGATTCAAACCACTGGCCTTTTGGTTAGCAGCTGAGAGTTTTAACCACTGCACAACCAGGGCTAGCATTAAGTATAAATGAATTCATTCAAGAATTAGATACAAACATAATTTCTTATTATCAAATAATTTCAGTTGGGTGAATACAGACATGGTCCTGAGGGGCTGGATGACCATTCATCTCTGCTTCCACCCTCTGGAATCTCTACTCCAGCCCCATACTCAGAATGCCAGGTCAGCATGGAACCCAACTCCATTGTGTGGACAGTTTCAGCAGGACAAAGGCCCCAACATAACACAAGCCAGCCCAACAGCCCCTTTGGCTGGCTCCTGAGGCCCACCCCTGCTTCTCTCCCTTTCTCTGGTTATGCTTTGCTGACTCCTGGCAAAGTCCAGAATAATCACCAAGCTCTGAGTGCTTCATCCCTCTCTCATCCATAGTTAAGGCTCCAATTAGCTCTTGGATCAGGCCAGGGCCCCAACACATTGGAAATGGGGGTAATCCAAGAAATAAAGCAATAAAGGGACTGTCCCATCCTTTTCTTACCTTCCTCTCCCCTTCCTTTTCTAAGGCGCCAGAAACAACCCCAAACGGCACACACTTGCTCACTCTGAGTCAGATCCCAAGTACTTTATATGTGTCATCTCATGTATTGGTATTCCCTAGGGTTGCGCTTTCAGTTTGATTCCCTACTTACTCTAGTCAACACCATCTCCTTGGATGACCTCATTTATGTCCTTCTCTCCCTTGAACTTTATATTCACCTATGTATAATACCCTCTTTAAGTCAGAAACCTAAATATCAGCTTCAACTCCTTCTCCCATCCTCTCACTCCCACCTAATCAGTCTCCAAAGCTCCACCAGTTCCAACCCTTGGACAGCTGAACCCACACCATGTCTGACCTGAGAACTCTAGTGGCTTCTTACCGTTTGTCTCTGTTTCTAGTCTCATCCCCTCGGATTCATTCTCTATGTTGCTGCCAACTTTATAAAAGTATCTGTAATTGATTATTTCCCTGTTTTAAACTCTTCAACAGCTCCTGAATGCCTGAAAGACAAAGCCTCAACTCCCTAGCATGGCATACTTCATAATCCATTCTCAACTCTTCCAACTGCTCTCCTTATCTCCCCAACACGAGACTAAGTAATATTGTACTCCTCGTGGTTCCTCAAACACCCCATTCTATTTCATAACCCAGCGCTTTACCCTAAGCTG